ATGTCAATAGTGGTGTAACTCGGTTTCTTGTGTTTCTACAAATATGGACACTTGGCCTCTCCGGGGTAGAAAAAACATTCTCGATAGTTATATTTATATAATATAACTATGCATTTTTAACATCTTCTATTAGTCGAATGCCAGGCGATGGAGAGATTACAAGCAAATTTTGAAAATGGCATATTTTTGAATATCGATTTTGCGCCTAACTATGCTTGTAACCTCTTATCTTCCTAAATAACAAGGATATCAGATTTCACAAGAAAAATCCTAGAAATATATCCTTTTATCCATACAAACGGAGGGAAAAAATAATTGTAAGGTCAATTAATACCATTCTCATAATGCGAAGGCGTCATGATCTTTACTGGACTAAGTACTGGTTAAAAACAAACTAATACTTATTGAATAACTATTCTTAAACCATTCTATGCAACACTGTAAAAAATTAAGATATTCAGGATTTGCATCTGAAGAATCTTTTTGCTATGTTCTGAAATATTGATCCGATTAAATCCTATTTTCCTGCATTCTTGTATTTATATACAAGCTTTAAACTATAAAAATTGTTTGACCTTGTTTTCGCAACTTAGTTATATTGGTAGGAAGACCCAGAGGAATGCACATTATCCGGAGTGCATAGCATGCATGACAATTTCCAGAGTCTGACCACGGACTTGGTACATTCCCACAAGTTTCGCCGGTATCGTAGTCGGCATTGTCAGTGAGCATTGCTATTCTTAGCCACACACTACAACTTGTCAAAGAGATAAATATAGTGTGGTGCTAAGAATAGCAAGGCTCACAGACGATGCTGACTGCGATGCCTGCTAAACGTCTGGAAAAGGCATCAAGTCCATGGTCCGAATTCGGAAATTATCATATCTACTATGAACTGCAGTCAAGGTGCGCTCCTCTAGCTCTTCCTGCCAATATGACCAAGTTGCGAAAACAAGATCACACAATTTCTATACGACGAAAAGAGACCGCGACCACACAAAAGGCTACACTATCCTGGTCGTCAAAACTTCGTTTAAATTATAAAGCCTGACAATCTTTTCTAAGCATTCCAGACTTAATGACTCAAGCTTGCTTAAGGTTATTTAAGAGATTTAGTTGATTTGTTTTTAATAGAAAATGAGTAAGCCTCCTTAACTCATTGAATTTAACTCGACTTTGTTCTACAGAATGTTTATTTTTAGCCAATAGGTTCGATCTTGTGTAAATATCATCAAGATTAGGAAAATTCGTAGCTTGCCTGCTTTTCCTGTGATTTAACCTAAACTGTGGTTATGTAAGGGAATAGTTACGTCGCGACGATACCTACGATACGCTGTCGAATTCTGCCTGTAATGCTGAAAATTGTTAATCTGATAGTACCAGTAAATCAGGTAAATCGTTAGTCTCTAAAACCAACTGAAAAGCGAAAATGTAATGTCATCGATTGCTCTAGGAAATATAAGTTTGCATAATCGATAATCCCACAAGAGTTTGTGATATTAGAAAATGCCTGAGCTTCTTTAAAATTCACATGTGCTCTGTGACCCAAGAACAAACGTGACAATGTGGTGTATTGGTTAAAGTTTCGATATTACACACTAAACTTTCATGGTTCGACTCTCATTGAGGGTGTTGATAAGGCCTCGTCGAGTTCGAAACTGTATAGAGAGAATGTTCGGAATTGATTAAGATTATGCAAGAGTATAAGTGCGAGGGCGAGTAAGGGTATGCGATTTACTATCAAATTCTGATAGCTAATAGCCTCTTAAATTTACGAATAATCGGTAAAATGAGTCTAAAAAGGATAATACTTTTGGGCTCACTTACTCAATCCTACGCAAAAGTTCCATTTTAATAAGCAGTTTAGTATAAACTGATTTCCAAACAACGTGTTCCAAATAAAGAGCCTGACAATAGAGGGAAATATTAAAACGATAAAGTCGGGCTTAATCCACGCAAGAATTAAGTAAACCTAAAAGATATAAAATATTAACATGACATTTACAGCTTAGTGTATCCTAAATTTCTCAACCATAAAAGTTTTGTGTAATTACCATAAAATCTAAGTGTTATTCGTAACTCTTCAACTAAATAAAATCTGTTCAATTCCACGGTCTAACGGTGGAAATCATCGTGACACCTAAAGCAGATGAGTCCAGATAAAGTGTGTTCGACTATGTGTCCCTGATACTACGAATAATTTAAGAAAGCGAAGCGAAACAACTTTTAAGTATAATCCAATTACATGAATGGAAAAGCACATATCACAAAAAAGCAAGTTTATGGAAGAGGATACCAGGTAGCTATACTCTTCTCAACTTTTTTTTGAGACTATTCGCAATTACCTCTTTGTAGTGTGGACAATTATAGATTAAATAAATGCCCTATATAGCATTTCGAGAAAATGTGGTCACTTAACAAGTTTTATTAAATTCCCACAATAAAGCCTTTTCATTTATTCATACAAGCATTTATGATTACCGAAAACGCGATTTAAAAGCTAATTCTAAAAGAGTTTTATATGTTTGCCTGAGAGTCTAATATGTTTGTCTTTCATCGAAGTCTTTTAAGGTATATATTACTAGGCATAAAATGCCAAGATTAGCCTTGGATCTTTGAAATACAAAATATCATAGTTTGTATGTAAATATTACACTTATAGAATGAAATCAATAGATTCATATATATATATATTTCTTAGTAGTATTGTAAGTGAAAAATTGAGTGAGACTTTAATGCATTCCTTTAGAAATAACAGAATAACGAAAGTAAGGACTCACCAGAATCTTCTTCCCCAAATCCTAATGCTGTCGCACAATATGCCAAAATAAAAATAAAATACACTGTAGTGTAGATATGTGATCGAGAAAATATTAAAAATCGGCATTCAGCTAAGCCGCAGATACTCGGAAGGGGAAAATAATGAAAGATCATATTGAAATACATTAAATCCTCAGATGAAACATTTATCCGTATCCTTTCCTATACTTAGGATAAGTGGCATGTAAGGCAAATTAAGGCCTGGTTACAAGAAAGCAGCGTCTGCATTTGCTCCACGGAATCGTGAGAGATGTCTGATTGGCTAGCCCTAATATATATGTTATTTATTTATTTAATTTCATAGGCAAAGTTTTTAAAGGATAATATTTATGCTTTTTTGTAACTATACATTGTGTAAAGTGTTAATGCCTGAAATAATAATTTTAATCTTATAAACAAATCTTAAGAAGTTTGGTACAAAAACGAAGATAAATAATATAAAATTCTTTTATAACAATTTGTCTCAATAAAAATATATTTAGTATATTTTTACGTCTTTTAATCTTTATTACTAATTGCCGTATTACAAAGTTGCCCCAGCACCTGCTATCATGCCATTCCTTAACATTCTTTATCCTTCCGGATATAGAAAGAGAATCGAGGCGCCTCAATACTCTCCTCTCATAAAGGTATACATTTCAACCCCCTTTTATCGTACAGGTTTTCGAAGAGGCTTGTGCTAAAATGGAATTAGATCCAAAGTTACATAGACTAATGTAAGCCGAGTTCCATCCATAATGGTTGTTTAAATGCATTATTTTACCGTTTTAAATAATTTAATGTTTTAAACTTTGCTTAATGTTACCTTTATTTTATGGAATTATGGCTCAACACTACCCCGTTCTGTTGGGCTAGGGATCAAGCGGTTATATTGTGCTGCTTTTGAGCACCAAAGCTAAGCTGATTTCCACCTTTTTTGTTTTTACATTGATATTATTTTTGCTATAAGACCTCTTACCTGTAAACGTCAACGCTCCTTGCCAATTTTCTAACAGCTATTTTTTTCATTTTTCTCTTGTCCGAAATTCCTATTTTTATTGCAAAGTATTATTATTCGTTTGATACTTGCCTCCATGTTTTTGTTAGAACCTGACCCTAATATTCTTGTCCTTTATATACTTTTAACCGGCAATGTGTACATGCATAGTGCCACAGCATTAATGGGCGTATACGTTTTATTTTCCTTATATATTTAATTTTTAATGCCAATCAAATCCATTTTCATGTGGTGTGAATGCTTTCGTTCGTGTATCTATTTCTTAGTTACTCTAGTTAGGTATTTTGACTTTTTTCTTCTTAGGTACAGGCGCCATCCTGTCGATCTATCCACTTCTTTTCATTTCTCTGGTATTCTCAATAATGCAGAATTAGAGATTGTGCCGTTAAAAATTACGGACTCTGAGTCTCCCTCCCATTCTTCTGAGGCGATTGTGCTACGAATATGCGTAAAGATAGCTCAAACCAGATTTGAGTGGGTTGGATCTCCTGAGACAAGGCTTTGGCAGCTTTTGGAAGAATGCGCTGCCAGCGATTCCACGTATGTTCTTATGACTATTGTTTTATTACATTTATTTTTATGGATGCATTAACCACCATTGTTAAATCTTTATCGAGATATCTCTAGAAAATAAGCATTTTCATTTTATCTTTTATCTTAATATTACATTTTCAACCTTTAAATTTTATTGAATCTTTCACAAATGAGCCTTAAATGTTCATTTAGAGTAATTAGTTTACAAATCGCGAATGATGTTTACAATTTATTACTGTCGGTCTGCCTTTCCATAGACCTGTTTGTATGACGGCAATCACGGAGTCTGCTTATTAGATGTGTGCCTGAGACAATCTGCGGTCTTGTCCAATAGCTCTAGTTTGCCTTAAGGATATCTATCAGTCACTCAGGTATACCTACTTAGGCTACGCATTCTAGTCTGTATTTAACTCGCTAAATTATGAGTTTTCGAGCCAGCTAGGGCTGTATACAATAAGGAAAGTAGCATAATGATTTTATCCGTTTCAACATAAATTCAAGTTTTCACTTTCATCTTTTTAACATAGACGTATGCGATTCTAATTTCGTCAAGTAATTAAGCACGTTAAAATTTATTTATAATTTCTTTATAATGCCCGTACATGATCAAGCTCTTTTTATTAGTTATTTTTTCATTTACATATTCTAGCATTAAACAAGCAATTGCCCCCTCAACGGTTGATAGCGTACCCGTGATTATGTACTTAAGAGAGCAGGTTAGTATATTAGTTTCTTGCTTATCCATCTTTTCTTAATAATGAGCGCCATTATTGCTTTATGTCAATCTAGAGGGCTTACATAACTTAATATGACGAATGTTTACTAAATTCTAATAGGATCTTTCGCGTTCTTTTATTTATTTGCTTTCTTACGCATTTTTATATTCATCCCTAAAGTGCATGGCATATTATCTATGGCTTTGTAACAGTGTAAGGTCGAAACATTTTTTATCTTATGGGTTTTTATCAGATCGCTGGTGAGCCTGCACTCCGGGAAACCAGCCTTAAGAGCATCGGAATCATTTCAGGTTCCGCCATGCTTCAGTTGTCCCGTCGGTCCATCGAACCAACTCTTCCTACTTTTAGCCCTTCGACTTCTGCTCTTCATTCTACGCTCTCTAATAAAGCTTCCTTGACTGTAGAGTCGTCAGACCCTCAGGTTGAAGTAGAAGCAAGTTTACCTCACATTGAGAGTGAGTCGATTTGAGATTATAATTGATTATTTATATTGTGCTGAGAATAATATATCTTTGATGTAGGATGTAGGGGGCCGAAATTATGTATTTTGACCTCTCTCGCCCATGAATAAGAATTGCTGATAGAGAGAATATGCAGAGCATTATCATTTTAATTTATTAAAAATTAAATTTGGGAACACTTTATATATATGTATGTATGTGTGTATACTCGCTTTGCTGCAAGTTTATTTTAGATGGATCACTGTCTTGGATTAACGCTATTTAATTGTTTTTGTTTATCTAGCTTGCTTCGGGGATTGGAAATGAGACGAATACCCATGTTTTATATAATTTCCTACTGGCTTACCTCTCATGGGCACAATGAATTGTTCATTAGGGACCATCGAAACATTCTCTTTATTTACAAGATTTGGAAACTGGCATATGCCTAGATAATAATTAACCTACACACACACATATATATATATGATTCTTTGAGATCGCTCCACTCGGCTGTCCATCCGTGACCTACCACTTAAGTATGTTTTTCTACCGCCATATCAAGCCTTTTGTTCTCTTCTATGTAGCTGTAACCATAGCCGCATTTATTAATATAAAATGTGGCATTGTGGGAATAGGCAAATGTTTATTAGGTTGGGTAAAGGTTGTGAATCTAAATCGCTCATTATCATTTGTCCTTACTCGTCTTAGA